TGGTGGTAACGGGTACCTGGAGCTCTCCATGTGAAAGTCCGAAGAGAATCAGACTGAAAGCTAAACCTGGACTCGTCGGAAAACATCACACAAGCTCACTGTTGCGGTGTCCACAATGCATGCTTCTCTACTCCAGGCTAACCGCAGGCGACAGTGAGTTGCAGTAAGGGAAAGCTCTGACAGGTCTAACGAGCATATAGACTAATCTTCCTAAGCGTCTGTACACGGTCTGCCTTGAAATTGCCGTACCAGTGGCTGAAGAGAGAGCTGACGAGACATGTCTGAGGCTGTGCTCCGCCTGTTTTTTTTGGCAGTAACTGCCAAATACCGGTCCTCATTCGGCGTTGTAACTCTGAGGCGACCTGTGCTGTAACGTCTACTCACATTACCATCATCTTGGAATCGTTGCCAAAGCCTGGAGATGACACTGGGCAATTCCAAGTTCGTCTGATACTTCCAGTTGGGTACGCCTACATTCCAGACGGCCGATAATTCTACCACGTAAAAAATCATCCAAATGCGTCCTTTGTGTCATAACTATTCGATTATTGCACTGAAATGCTTATAAAGCACCTGCAAACAATTTTTCTTCTTTGCCTGTATTCCTTATATATCATTCTCTTACACTTTCGTCATTGTGACGTACCATCGGTGTCATCTGGTTACTTCCTGAAATTTGCATATGATTCTTGAAGATGTGTGTAGTGATTTTGCAGGTGATATATTTATTTTAAAGTTCGATTTCTGCGTGATTCCGAATTATCCTTAATTTATGGACATGAGTGTAAAACGCAGTTCTTCAGATAATGTAATTTTTTACTGTTGAGAATTTTTTCACAATTGTATTTCTAGTTGTGATAAGAGTTTTTTTAAATAAAAATCATTTTAGAACTACAAATGATTAATTTTGTATTTAAGAAATAGTTCTTAAATAGTTTGTCAGCAAAGTACTCTATAATAGGTGGCTTTGCAAAACAAATATTTGTCTGTTTTGAAATTTTAAAATGATGGAATTAAAATTTTTTTCAGAATTAAGGTAAATTTTTAATGTATTTTTCTCTTTGTCGTTTTTACATTCAGGCATTTGCTTATACCAAGAGGAGAGACAAATTCAAAGACTGCCTAGGCGGACGCACTCAGATTCCGCCCCGGGCGCCAAATGTTCTAGCTATGCCGAATATCATTTAAATTGAAGAAATTTACAGAATAGATTATAGCTTTTCTAAGACAATCTTCAAACATGTCTAAAAGATTTGGTTTTCTATGAAGACGTGTTGTTTAAAAGCAATGCTTTAGTATATTTTCAGAAAAGACTGTATTCATTTTAGGAGGTGGTCGTCTTAAGTTATCACACAAAATATTTGGCTATAAAACATATGAGTTACATTTTTATTTTACAGCTCCTACTACTCTTTAATGCGGTAAAAATTTTATAATGTTTGATGCAGAATAGGCAAATCAAAATTCCTAAATAAGACAAGAATAAAAAAATAGTACCAATGCAATACAGGGACAAAAAAAGGGGGGAAGAAAGAAAGATAGCTTTGATTATTAATAATTGTTATCCTAGAGTTTATGATCTTATCGAAAAGCGAATTAGCGTTTTTAAATATTGGGAATGAAATTTACTAAATCTACAGAAGACAATGAACGAATAGAAAGTATTAATTCATTACAGCGCTTAACATTGCACAAGTGAAAGGACAATCACTGAATGTATATTCTTTCTGCTTTGAAAAAGAAAAAAGCCTATAGACCACCTATGAAGTCTTTTTCCATTCCAAAGTATTCCAGATGGTGTTCTTAGCTTAAGGTCTTGTTTTATTTAAATCCTAATGCGGTGTTGCTATGGTTACCCTGGTCATTAGCGTCAACTCTCTTTGGCAAAACATTTCATTTTCACCTCGGCGAGAATCCTGCCAAACTTAGCAACCCGTTATTTTGACGTCAGAAAACAGGTGCAACGGTCAGCGCCATCTATTGCCAAAAGGCTACATTCATACTTCTCAAAATTCACTCTTAAAAAATGATAAACTACGCCAAGGTAGAAACCCGCCTTTTAAAAAAAAAATGGTTCACTTGAACAGTTCGTGTACGTTGAATCCGTTCCTTTCGACTGGGTTCTATTGACGGTTCTGACAACTCAATGTGCATGCGTGGTTAATGTTGGTGCGAATAGCATCGGCCGTTAGCGCTACCCATTGGGTTCCTTTGAGGAATTTCTCGAGAGGCAAAAAACACGATCTTGGGCCTCAATGAATGTATAGATTTGTAGTTTTTGCTCCTTTAATCTATATTTCCTATCTATTTAAATTAAAAGCATATATTAATACAGTGTGCCTCAAATTGATAAAATAGTACACATATAATAAATTATGACCATTAACTTAATAAATAAATAAAATGCTTATTTTTTAAAAAAAATTAATTAATATTAAAAAAAAACTCTGTAATTTATTTACTTATTTATTTTTGCTGATGTGTTCTCGCCTTGTTTTAGATTTATAATTTTTTCTGATGGTGTTTTCTGAGTATATGAATATGTTGGAAACTGCAATAGATGACGTTACTTAAGTTAATGTATAATTTTGCATTATATTATATGTATCTTGATCTTATGTGTCTTCTGTTACTGTGTCTCAAGGTAGAGGCTATTATATTGTTTCCCATGTTAAAAAATAAAAGTTTAATTAAAAAATTTTTAAATTTTAGTTTCCCTGTTGTAGCAAAAGTTAGCTTCTAAACTAGACTTATACTGTTATGTGACTGGACCCCCAATATTTATATTTATTATTAATTTTCCCCCATCTTTACATCTATTCAGCTTTACAAAACACACTCATTACACACACCTGAAAGACTCTATTTAATGTAAATGATAACAACTTGTTTTGACTACACTCATGGACACAATTGTGTTTTTTTTTAACAAAATTCTCTTACTTCCTTTCCTTTTTGTTTCTATAAGCCCTTTTTTTTAAATTATAAATATAATTTTTTTTTCCTCTTCATTACTTTTGGGCCATTTATTTTTTACTTTATTTTGTCCCATCTTTTCTTCCTGGCCTTTCGAACTCGTATAAAATATGCGAAGTTCCTTTTTACTCTCCTCTGAAATACGAAATTTCCCCCCTTTCTATATACCTTTCCTTCGCATCTATGCTTGATTTTTCGCCCATCGGTGCAGAAAGACTTAGCGGGTGCAACAAAAGACATCTGTCTACTTTGTCTGTCTGTTTCTGGCAACTCCTAGTTAACCGGTTGTTTACGTGATTTTCCATGTTGCTTTCTGTAAAGCAATTGAACTGTTGTGTCATTATGCGGTTCATCTTCGGCTGTGAGAGACGCTATTTAATTTGGGCATCAAGTATCTTCCCTTGGAGTCTCGTTCTTTTGTACGCTTCTCTCTTAATTTTTTTATAATACGAGGTTATAATTCTAAATTGGTTAAGTAGTAGAAATGATATGTTTCAGCATGTAGAATCATGTTTTATTATGGATATATTTATGCTTTTTAATGGGTACCGTGAAATGAGATCGACCTGTAAATCCATAACTCCGACTTTTTTTGAATCATTAACAGCAGTTTTTAATTATGAATATAAGTGTTAATATAACTAACGTTTTATTAACATCAACTAAAAAATATTTGTTATATGTAGTAAGAATTTTTCATGTTTAAAATTTTAGAAATATTTTAATAGACTAAGAAATATTTCTTCAAAAGGAAATCCGTATTTGCATATGTGAAAAAAGAGTTTGTGAAAGAAACTTTTCTTAAGACATCTCAGATGATTCAGTTCATTTATATGTACTTCTGTTTTAGATTCTCCAGAAAATGCACGTTTTTCCTTAAGGAAGGATGACTGTATGTATTTCAATGAGATATCCAACATAATTCAGCTTAGATGTGCATGAAATAGTTTGATTCTTCGGCAATGTATACTGGTATACGTACGTAACAGAAAAATCATAAGACACCCAGAAAGTGTGGTAAGTAAATATTTCGCATTTTTTAGTATGCCTGATATATTATTAATCATTAGTCTTATTACTTGTTTATTTTAGGTTGTTTTTAACTGATCTTCTAACTGAATTAATGAAACATATGAAGAGTATGAAAAATAAAATTTTTATTACATTGCTTTATAAGAAATTTAAGATGTTAGTCAATAATAGACCTTGAATAATAAAAGTAGAAGAACATTCCAAGTTTAAAATTATGTAAAACGATTTGTTGTCTGTACCACTTCTTGAAGAAGTAAAATTTGTGTCAGATTATTTTTTCTTCTTGAAGAAGAAGGTTTCATTTTTGTAAGATTATTATAATCTAAATTTTTTGACTAGTTTTTAAAGGAAGATAAAATAAATTTTATAAACATTTAATCTATTATTTAATAAGTTTTAATTAACATTGGTGTTATTATTATTATAATCTAAAGCAAATTATTACTATGGCTTTTTTGTCTAAAATAAAATCTTAAATAAAAGGATTCAAACTGTTTTCATTTAATTGATTTAGCTTCTTTTAAAGGCTTATTTTTAATTTTCAATACAAGTTTTACTTTCTGTCATCAAGTAGATAGAAAAACTGTAATATTTTAATCAAATACTCTGCAAAATGTTATAAAATTAATTCAAAATATTAATGATATTAAAAGAAATTTTTTGTGCTATTTTTAATTCAACAATATTATTTAATAATATAAATTAAACAAGTAAAACTTGTAATTACCGTATTTGACAGCATATAAGACGCACCCCTATTTAGACGGCCACACACAAGGAAAAAAAGTTTCAATAGTGTGGTTTCTTTTAGTTCTCACATTTCGTAAAAGCCAAATAAACAATTATTGAATGCAATTACCTTCACGTATAAGACGCAGATAACTTTTTTGAGACCAAATTTAGGAAAAAAAGTGCGTCTTATATGCCATCAAATACGATAATAAACTTATAAATTGGTGTTTTAATCCTAATTCTTCCCCCTTGCAATATTAAACCTGTTTTAAAATAAGTTTGGTACTTTCGCATAATCTGATTAATTATCTGATTAATCTCTTGGTTTTAGCATTCGACAGAACTGGTTGTTTGGGGCATTCTTTTAGTGTTCATGTGACAAAAAGCCAATGCAAGCATGTGCATACCACATGTATGTTTGAGTGGTAAAACTATATTTGATGGTGCACCCTTTATGAACTTGGCGATTTTTGGCGGTACATGGACACGGAGTTTATACAATTCTTTGATTTGTTATTTTAGCTTTGTTTAGCAGCGATTTTCGGGCCAAAAATTGTCGCTAAACAAAGCCAAACTAACAAGTCAAAGAAATGCACAAACTTGGTATCCATGTACACATCGACCTATTTTCACTTAAAAAACATCACAGAATTGCACAAACTCAGCATTGCGCACGAAAAATATATAACCTCAATAAACTGTGTTTAAAATCAAACAATGATATAACATAAAAAATCACTACGCACTCACTACACAAAGGAAATAGCCACCTACCTTATTTAGAAATTTCTCTGTCTTCAGTCTGTGGCACACAAAATTCCTAAACAGCATCCAAAAACTTTCCTCAAACCATGTTCCCTTTCTAACGGAATGCTTTATATGGTGACCATTTGAACCTTTCTTGCGACAAACTTATTCAAAGCTATCTGAACGATCTTTACTTTTGACCATGCGCATTTTCCTTTGTGCAAACAGGACACTTATAATCGCTACTAAGTAAACCTTCATTACACACCAGTCAATTAATGCTCCCCCCTACATTCCAAATCCTATAGAAATTTCAAATGAATCTTAACATACATTCAGTTGTTTTATAGTGTAAACCACAAAATAAGCAACTTCCTAACCAACATCCAACACACAAACAAGCCCTTACAAATCTTTTCCCGTCAGTCAAATTCACGCAACCAATTATGTCATAATAGGGGTTTTCATAACATTCAACTACTCAGGTTACCATAAAGAAAATAACAACTTGATGATATCCAACGGGCACCCTTTGTTTAGCTTCCCATAAATGAAACAACAACTTGGTGAGGGCACCGTCAAATATAGGCTAGTTGTTTGAGTATATTTAGATTTCTTCATATTGCAAGCGCCTCAGTATTAATTGATAGTTTAAATATGATTAATTCCATTGAAAAAATAAAATTTTAGTAAGAAAATTAATTAGTTCTTTGCTGTATCTTTATACCTTTTATGTCATAACAAATTAAATAAAGAGAGACTATTCCCCCCCTTAAAAAAATAACAAATTATCTAGAATGAATGAATAATCCCTCAAAAACTGTAAGCATTTGATAGTTAAATGAAAACTTAAGTAAAAGTATTAAAACATGACTTATCATTTTAAGTGTAAAAATTTTTGAATTTCATTGATTACTATGCAGTTGTATTCAACTGAGAAAAAGAAATCTTAGAGCCATCAACATCTTATTTCATAAATTTTGGGATTTTTTCTCTTATCTTGCAATTTTTAAAAATTTTTCTATTTTGACCATTTTACTCCAGTTTTTTATACATATTCAATACATGTTGTATTTGAAGATTAAAATTTTGATTTCCATGTATCTGGTTGTAATGAAAATTTTCTGCCAAAACGCATTCTTAATAAGGTTAGGGGGGGAAAAAAAAAGGAACATGAAAGCAAGACCTTTAGTGTGGGTAGTAATCACTACCCAAATCTATGATTTTCTGCCAACGTTTTGGTAGTTTTTCAAAGCTTTTGGCCCAGAAACTTGGTTGCCATGAATACAAAAGAACATCAACCTCATTCCGAATGTCCTATGCAGAATAGAAGATAGCACCAGCAAGATGTAGCTGCAGGTGTGAAAAGAAGTAGAAGTCCCAAGAAGTGATGTCTGGGCTATATGGTGAGTGTGGCGAAAGATCCAGTTCGAGTCTGTACAGAATCCAGCTGGTGAATGCAGACACATGTGGTCTTGCATTATCTTAATGGAACATTACCTTTTCGTGCTTGAGCTCAGTTTGATATTTTTCCTTGATAGCAGCATCAACACAGAGTAGCATCTTGCTGTGCACCTAACTGTCAAGGTTTTTGCCTTCCACTTGTTACTTTGCAACACTGCCAATGGGCTCAACAGGCACAGACCAACTCTCTTTTCAACCTGTGTTGTTGAAGTAAATCTACTTTTCATCACAAGTAATGAGCAGCTTAGTTCAGGCCTGAACTTGTCTGTCCTTATCTGCTTGAGTCATGTCGTGCGGCACCTAGAAATTGAACTTGTACATCAGGTTTATGAGGTGCATAGTGCGACTAGTTGCCATTGCACTTACGTCTAACTCCATAGCAAGCTCTCGAGTGGTTGCATATTGATCTTCTTCCACAAGTTCTCATAGGTGGGCCTCATCAACACCAGTAGGCCAGCCAGAGCGCTCTGCTTCTTGAATGTCACAGTCTTTGAATTTCGATACCAAACCTTCACAGAGTTGTATGATACAACATTAGTACCTAAAGCTATATACATAACTGACTTTTTGCAACAGAACTGGAAGTAAATGATGGTTCTAATGTGGTAGCATGATAGTTCCATTTCAGACACCTTGTACTTAATAATAACAATATTTTTTTACAAATTTCACAACACAGTTCTAAAGTTACTTTCTTTCAAATGCCAAAAATTGTTTGAGAAAATATGATTAAACACGCCATCTGTTTTAATGGACGATATTTGTGGTGGTGTGAAACTTTCATTAAAAATCTGATATTTTTTGACAACACATGTTTTTTATTCTGCCTGATAAATTATCATGAATCGGTTATTATAAGGCTGATTTCAACTTATATATCTCTATAGAGAAAAGCTTCTCTACAGTTTCATTCATATAAGCATTACTGGGCTACAGATATTATTTGTCCTATATATGTGTATATATCTTATATGTAGTATAAGTGCATAGTTACCACTGGCATTTTTAGCAGCTTTTGATATCCGTCATGTCTGATGGTTAATACAGATGAGGATAACAAAACTGGATTTCAACAAATCACCAATCTTTATTTTCATATATATCAAAAATCATCCTTTTGCAGACAAGATATTTTTTAATCATTGTGAGAACACAATAATTTCTATATACATGGATTTTAAAAGTACGATGGATTCTGTATAATTTTTACAAAATAGCATAAGAGGCACAGAGTTGTTTGTGGGGTAGAAGCTAGGAAAAGGAATGACATAGCTGTTTTGCAAAGAAAGCTAGAAGATGCAGAAAGTACTTGAAGCTGTGATTGGTTAATTTTAGTTTTAGTTACCTTTTTCAAACAGTGTTATGTAACATGGAAAGATCTTGAATTTGGGAGACCAGATGAATTTAGGGAGAAGAACACAAAATCTAGAATAGTTAATTTTGAGGTCACCAATCATTCTTAAAGCAGCCATTGCATTTTGTTATATCATGAATGAGTTATTATAAGGCTATTTTGTCTTATATATCTATCTAGAGAATAGCTTCTGTACAGTTTCGTTCATATAAGCATTATTGGTCTACTGATATTATTTGTCCTGTATATGTGTATGTATCTTTCTCTCTCTCTATATATATATATCTGTGTGTGTGTCCTGCATCAATGCTATAATTAAAATTCATTATACAGAAATAATAATGTACTTGAATTTCATTGTCCTCAACTTTCAAAATATTTTTTTTCAGTTATTGGTGCCAAAATATGCCTGCATTAATATTTTTGAATCGGAAATGGCTTGTTGCTTGTGATGATCTGGTAATTCCATGTTCTATGGAGGCAGTTCTACGTGTAGTATGGTAATACCATTAAAAGTACTTTTTTTTAACTGTGCCTTTTTCCCTTAACTTTTCAATTTTTCTAATCTGTGACTGTATTAGATTTTACGTAAACTTTAGAGTAAAGTATCTTTGATATTCATCTGTTATATGCTCCCATTATATGCTCCCATTTCATGGTTCTTGGGTTTTAATCTGTAATAAAGCCTTGTACCTGAGAAAAAAATTTTAGGTTATAAAGCTTCATCTCATTTCTATAAGTGAAAAAAAAAGGAGAGTTATCAAATTATTGTAAGTCAGCAAAATTATTCAAGTCAGAAGCATTTCATGTATATTTAGAGAGCGCAGCAATGGAATGAAACAAACCCTAATGCAAACTAAAAAAATATGTTTAAATTTGGTATAGGATATTGATTCAGATGTATTTTTTTCCTTATTATTTTATCAAAGAATATTTACATATTGTTTTTTACTTTGCCCTAAAGTAATACGTTTTGATTTCCTTTTATTCTTCTTTTGTTTTATCATTAGATGTTAGAACAAGGTAATGCAAATTTTCTAACAGTGACATTAAAATGAGGAAAGGAAACTGCAGTTCCTAGATATAAGTTGAAAAAGTTTCTTAATTTCAGTTTGTTGTTTTGTTTTGAGATTAAGCATAAAAAAAAAATTTACATATTTTTGTAATAAAAAAGAATATGAAATTGTTGAGCAATATTGCATAATAGTTCAACAAATTAATGAAAAAAACTTTTAATTGTGATGCAAGTTGATTTGTTGGTAAAACATTTTACTTGTACTCTACCCAAGACATGAACTCACAGTCTTTTGCTGTCTTCATCAAATTACATAAGTGTTTTTTTTTTTTTTTTTTTTTTTTTTTTTTTTTTACATACTAAAATGCATCTGCATACTCATTAAGATTTATTTAACAGAATAGTTGTTATCTTTGCTGATGTTTCTTGTATTGAATTCTGTCTTTAACCATATGGGAAGTCTCATGATATTCACAGGATTTTTTTATTTGTATGAACTGTGAGACAATCAGAGTGATATTATTATAGAGTCAAATGTCGTTAATCCGGACGTCCATAATCCAGAATGATCTATAATCCGGACCTCAAAGCTACAAACTTTATGCGCATGCATAAACGCATTTGCGCATATGCATTTACGCATGCACATAATACCTTTACGCATGCGCATATGCGTTTAATGTATAATGGACGGTATAAGCTAAGCTAAAATTATCTAATTATCTATTTCAGTTAATGTTGCAGATTGCGTTGTTCCTTAATCTTTGAATTGGATACGGCTTATATTTTTGCACACTGTTTAGAGCAATTTTATAAAAGTAAGCTTGAACTTTCGATTATGTCAAAAAGAATTTCTGATTCTGGAGCTGGCCAAAGGATCTACAAAGCGAAAAGCATGTTTCAATGTTCATCAAACGAAAGTGGAATTGCTACAAAAAATAGATAAAGGCATATTCTTTGTTTTTCTAACCATTCCAAAATCTGTGTATCAATTTCACGCTGCTCTGCGGGGGTGGGGGAGAACGTCGCGGCGCGCAATGAAACTGGAAGGTTGATTTGTCAGCTCTATCCTTATCTTCAGGGCAATATCTTTTTATTTTGTTTGGCTTATAATTCCTTACTAATTGCAGTATTTCATTTCAATGTACTTCCGTCTTCGATATGATTTAAATCTAAATTATAATTCGTCATTATAAATATCACAAATACACATCAAATAGTTTTTTTGGTTGCAATTTTCTAATTTCGACTATGCGTTATGTATGCTTTACGCATGCGCACGTTGAAAGAAATGTTTAATAAAGTAAACAAATAAATATTAAGCTTTTTTTTTATAAATTTTGATACTCTTTAGATCATAATTGCTCTTTATTTCATAAATTACGGTTTCATATTTTTAATTTTATAATTTCTGCATGCCATCTTACCAGATTTAAATTGATGATCTGTAATCCGGAAAAACCCATAATCCGGAATCACCGAAGTCCCGACGAGTCCGGATTAAAGACTTTTGACTGTAATTACTTTGCTATGACAGTTGGAACCAATCCAGCTCCATCCCAGTTTTGGTAATAGCACCCAGATTAATGGAATTTAAACATCTTGTATCCCCTCTTCACCTATGAACCTTGAAGAGTAAAACAGTCAGGTTGCAAGTCAACCTCGTTCATGATGAGGTTATATGCATGCTTATATAATATCAAACTACTTATATAATAATATCAATTCTGAGGATTCTGGCTATATTGCAGCCTCTGCTGATCACCATGCTATTATGTATCCAAAATTATTATACCAAAGTCATAACAGTTTTTTGCAGTGTTAAATCTTTAGATGCATTTTCCTTGAAAAACTGCAGTTTTTCAGTTTTCTGATTTTTGTATGTTTCTGATAATATCCATGTTTCTTTTATTTAATATTTACTGCAGAAGTGAGGATGAATATACACTGTGAGGATGAATATTAACTCAAAAATCTCTTCTCCAGCTGTATATTTGGTACTCTTCCGTTTCGCCAAGCAGACTTTATTGGTGACAACCTACAGTATACACTTAAAAAATTTTAACAAATGTTAATTTTAAGAATTTTTTATTTTGAAGGCATAAAAATTTTAGTATCATTTAAAATTTTGTAAAAAGACAATAAAGGCAATAAATTTGTAAAAAGACTTTAATTTAAGAATTTACTATGCTTTCATGGTACAGTATGCTGATTCGCCAGTTCATATTACGTAACCCCAAGTGATCTCATCTCACGTAAACTACTCTACAAAAATTTAATTCTCTCAGTAATTATCTACATTAATTTCAAGTTAATAATATTTAAATACAGAATCATTTTAATTCATACAAATATTTCAGAAAAAATTATGTTTTTACTTCACTAGTGCATTCCTCCAACTAGTATATTTAACCCGTTAATTTACTTTGAACCTTTAATTTGCCTTTTCTGTATTTTTGCTTTCGGGTGAGCAATGTGATTGCATTCTAATTGACTTAATTACCGCGAATGGCCTTAGGGCATAAAATTGAACTATCTGGTAAAAATTTTATGCAACTATATGCTAGTACTGAAAGCAACAATCAGTCTGATAAGAAATGGCTGCAACTTGTTTTGAAAATGAGGCATAAAAGATATTCCTTTTGGCGAGGATACCACCAGCGAGGATATTCCTTTTGGCATCAGTTGTACCATTTTTGGAGACTTTATCGCCTGCGCCTGCAAAATGGAAAAGTACCGTATATTGTTTGTTATTAGCATACTTCGTATTTGCTAACTCCCAGTTTTTAACAATTTCTCCTGTTTGCCCAATAGATCATTGAATGTTCTGGTTCCTTAATTTTTGAGCCTTTATTAAAAGAAACTAATAATGAAAATGTTTCTCATAAGTAAAATGAAATTTATTGAACTAGTAAAATTTAAGTTAGGCAAATTCTATTCTCTGAACTCTAATGATTTCAGCACAATTTTTCTTATTAAATTTTATTTGACCTAAATTATCTTAACTGTGTGAACATTTTTGAACTTTTTATGAAGATTGAACGAATATTAAATCAGTTAATATTTGAAATTTTGGCTGATCTTTGGAATATGGTAACTGGTAGTTTGGCGACATTTTAGAGGCGATAAAGGTTACTACCTAAGACTTTGGTAATAATGTGAGCAGTACTCAGTTCCGATTATGCATTATTTTGTGTAAGGGAAATGAGAGATCATGTGATATTAACCCTTTAACTGTCAAGTTATTTTGATGATTTGGGTACACAAATTGTCAAATTTTTTTATTGGAAAAACCAAATGTAGCCAAAATAAACATCTCCCGATATATATTCGGGTATGACAATACGATGCACTCAAAAAAAAAAAAAAAAAAAATTACCCCGAGAAATACTCAGGCGTGACATTTTCGAACACCAGTGCTGTGCCCGAGATAATCTCGGGCATGACAGTTAAAAGGTTAATGGACGAACTACAGTTCTTTAATCAGAAAAGGGGGGGGAGGGAATTTGGAAAAATATCTGTGGCAGTATATTATTTTGTATTAAGCTTCATTGTGTGTTGTGTGAAGTAGTGTTGAATAATTTTTGGATTGTATGGCGCTGTCTAATATTATTTTAAAGATCCGGAAACAGGTGCACATACCAACACAATAGAGGGCACGTGGAGTGCTATAAAAAGCGCCATTCCGAGGTATTGTGATAAAGAGAATTTTGCTTTTTATTTAGTGGAGGAAGTGTGGAGGAAACATTCGCAGAAAAAATCATTCAATAATTTTATTGAATCAATAATAAAAGTGTATCCACCATGTAAGCAAGATTCTGAAGAAGACCAGGTAAGTTAGTATTTTTAATTATTTGAGGATATTAGTTTTATGCATTGTTCTAAATGTAAGGTGGAAGTAAAGTAATTTGGTATTATTGGAAAATTGTTATTAGCAATGATTTAGTTTAAAGTAAATAGGATTGTAAGCTAATTTTTATTAATTTAATGTGTGTGCTTATTTATATTTTAAGTAGTGTTTTTTTTGAATTTAATTATATTTTAATTAAATGATAGTTATTTTGTGAATTTATGTTTGTAGGAATTTGGTATACGTTTAAGTTGAAGTAAACGTGCATGGAAATAATTTAAATATTTGACACTAAGTATTTGTAACCATTTGTAATGTTTGCGGTATGAATTCGTTGGTGACGTTTGTAATATAATAGATAATTTAGAGGTAAAAGTTTTTTGGATATTTTATTTATTTTATACGTGGAAATGTTCATATTTGGAAAGGGTATATACTTTTTCGCGATAAGGTAATTTCATATATGTTCTTTTTTACCGGGTTTAAAGATTCAGAAAATTGTCATGCATTTTCGTGAAATGTTTCTAATTTATGAGAAAAAAGCAGTGTACATGGATATAGTGAAGAGTGTGTGCAATGCCATTTTTGTGCAATTCTGGGATATTTTTTTTAAGTAAAAATAAGTCGATGTGTAC